GACGCGTGGGGGGGGGTCACGCATCGGGCCCGCAGCACACCCGCATCGCATGCACCGGACCCCCTCCGCCCCGCATGCACCGGACACACGTCACACCCGCCAGACCCGCAACGCATGCACCGGACCTGCATTGCATGCACCAGACCCCCACGGCGCGCACCAACCCCGTGTCACGCTTGCCGGACCCATATCGCATCCGCCCGCACCCACATCGTGCATACCGGCCCTGCATCGCAAGCGCTGGACTGATATTGCATGCACCAGACCCACACAGCATGCGTCGGGGATGCATGGCGCTCACCAGACCTGCAGTGCACTCACTGGACCCCCCCTGCATGCACTAGACCCCCCCTGCATGCACCAGACCCCCCCTGCATTCACCAGACCCCCCATTGCATGGCATGCACCAGACCCCCATCTGCTCATACAGCATCCATACAGCATCTCTTGGCACCACGGGGCGTTGCAGGAGCTGGAGCTTCTGTGCGATTGAGATTTTATTATCTAATGGCTTAATGCTCCATCTCCGAAGGGATACAGAAAGCGCAGGAGCTGATTGATGAGCCGGGGCTCTTTTCCTCTCCTCCCAGCAAGGTCAGTGCTGCCCGGTTGTCGCAGAAACACCCGCTGCCGTGCATTTTTTGTGCTCATAAAATCCCGGCGTTCCCCCCTCCCTAGGCAGTGTTGTGCTGTGACCTTGTGCACGAAGGTGCCAATCCCGGTTTCCAGGGCTGCAGAGGTCCCTGGCCGGGGGGTCAGGAGAGGGCGATGCCCGTGCCCGCGCCTCGGCAGCGGGCTGCGACGCGAGGTTTGGTCCGCTGTTCAAGTAGGCCATTCCAGCGGTGCGGAGAGCCAGGGCTAATCCTCCGTGACCCCCGTCTTTCCCAGCCCTTGTTCGAGGTGGATGGCGGTTAGGGGAGACCTGCTTCCGCCGCGCCGAGACCGCGCGGGGTGCGGAGGGGAGGAGTAGCTGTTGTGCTGGAAGCTGGATTTGTCTTCCATGTTTTTGCCTTCGTATCCCGAAGGATTGGGCTCTTCCTTCTGCTTACCGGTCCTCAGCTCGGCTCCCCAGCAGAGCACCCGCACAGGATGGGCCGTGCGGCGTGATCTCACGTGCATCCCCAACCTTCCCAGCCTCGGGTAAGGCCGTAGGGTCGGCAGCCCGGGTATCCTGCTCCTGCTCTCCTGGCAGTTGCTGCGGCTACGGCATTTGTCATGGAGCTCTTCTCCCTTTTCCCTTTGCCTCCAGGGGCCCCAGAAGAGACCAGCCCCTTCCCTCTGCTCGGACACCTTATTTTTAGCTAACGAGGGTCAGGAATTGCCACCTCCTCGTTTGGCGCCGCAGCCAGGTCAGCGGGAAAAGTGATGAGCTGCACAACCCGATCTTTTCGAATGGTCTCTGTTTGCCTGTGATCTCTGGGTGTCACCTCAGCATTTTATAACAAACGAGAATAAAAGGAGATGCTCCCGTTTTGTTACGGGATACAACAACTCTTAGCAAAATTGATTTTTCTAGTGGTGTTGCATAAACATCCTGTGCTTTTTGTCCCTGCTCTTGCCCCGAGCGCTGTGCTCTGGCGTGAACTGGAGCATCTCCCTCGGTCCAGGACCCCGGCGAAGCTGCTTTGGGATGACCCCGTCTCTGCTGGAGCAGGGAGCAGAGTTTCCCAGCTCCCTTGGAAACTCCCGAGCAGGAGCAAAGCAGCCCCTGTCTCCCAAAAAATCCCCTGTGGCAGAAGGAGGAGTGCAGACGTGGTCCCCACTGTGCACCAGGCAGCCGCTGTTTGCCGCCGGCAGCTCGGATGGTGCCCGCGGTGCCCGCGGCGCTGACCCCCTCCTTTGCCGGGTTTCTGCCAGCCTCGGCCCTGGCTGCCGGATCCTGCTCCTTCCCACCACCACCCAACTGCATCCCAGTCCCTTTTCAAACACAAACTGATCCTGGCCTTGCCGCTGGTTTGGGGGCGCGGCGCTCCGTCCCAGATCAGGTTGCCGGCTGTTTGCCGTGTTCAGCGCTTTGCTTATTTTTAGCCTGAAGGAAAAGCAGAGGCTGTGTCGGAAAGGCAGGGAGGTCTCCTCAGGAGCCCTTTTTGTTCCCCGCAAAAACGAAGATGTGATTTCCCTCCGCCTGTTGCTTTCTGCTTTTAATCTTGTTAGTCCTGGAAGGCTGAAAATCTCCCGGCCACCCCCCGCCCGGTGGGGAGGGACCCGCGGGGGGGCACGGTTCTTCTCCCGAGGTTTCTGCAGAATTGGTAAAGCTGCTCTTAGACGCTTGGGCTTGGTGCCAGCATTGCAAGACGATCCTAAGGCAGGATGCGTTAAGGAAAACAAGGGAATCCGGCAGCGGGCAGAGTGATGGGAACCCCGACAAAAGAAGCAGTGAGCGAGAAATCCGGGGAAATGCAGCGGCTGCTGGGCCAGGGCGGGTGGGTGCTGAGGGCTGGGGCTGGAGCTGCCAAACGAGCCCGCCTGCTCTTGCACCTTCTCTGCGTGTTCCCTGCAGGGACGGGACGAGCTGGTGGGGCAGCTCGGGCCAGCACAGCAGCTGGTTCCTTCTGAACCCTGCAGAAATCGAGCAAAGTGAGGTGCCTCAGAAGCTCGCGGGAGCGAACTTGAGAGCCTGCAGTTGGGAAACCCCCGGAGGAACAAGCTGAGGAACCATCAGAGGCTTCACCGAGCCGATGGCGAGGGTCTCTCCGGCCGTCCCATGGCCCCGTGGCCCACGCAGAAAGCTTCTAGGAGGAGCGGTACTTGCCCAGCCCCGTCTGCCCGTTGCTGGCGCGGCCGGGGGATCCAGGGTGGAGCGGGGAAGTGTCGGCATTCGAGCCAAAGAGGCATCTCTGCAGGGCAGCAATCCCAAAATGATGGCTGAGCCGCAGTTCTTGGGGAAGTCCCCCCCTGGGGCACCGGGCTGAGCCTCAGGGTCTCTGCTGGTGCTCTGTCACCCCTCTGTCGCTGCTCTGCCACCCGCCTGGCTTTGCATCGCTGTCGTGGTGTGATCTGCGGGGTGGTGGTGCCCCAGATCCCCTCTGCAGCCGGCAGGAGCTGGGGACCCACTGGGGGATGCAGCTTGGGGGCACCCGGAGCCCCATGGTATTGCCCACCCAGGGTGGTGGCAGCATGGGGGCTCTCGGCCCCAGGGGACGTGCGGAGGCTGAGCAACCTGTGCTGGCGGGGACGGGGCACGTGCCATGCCCGGGGGTGCCGGTGCCGGACACCATTACCGGTACGGGGAGCAGCGGCTGCCTGAGCCCTGCCCGGGGCTGAGCCCTGCCTGCTGCTGAGCCCTGCCTGCTGCTGAGCACTGCTGACCACAGCAGGCACGGAAAGTGCTTGGAGAGCAGTTACGGCACAACGTGCCGGTGCGGGGGGTCGCCAGTCCTGGGGCCGAGTGGCTCCTGTGCCCGGCTGTGCTCCATCCCACCCTGCGTGGGGTATCAGCTTCTCGTGCTGCGACGCCGGCTGTTTCCTTTTCAAGGACCATTGCTTTTATTTAGCGTGAATTCCCCAGGCTAATTCTGTTGCACAGAATAAGCACTATTTTGGGCTGCTGTTTTTAAAAGAGCTGCCTCTGTTCCACTATGGGCCGGGAGATTCGCAGGGAGTTTTGCTGTCAGTGGCTCTAGGAGAGAGCGTTAGACCTTGCAACGGGCAGCGTTCATCCTGCTGTCCCCCGAGCTGCGTGTTGGGGTGGTTTGCAAGATGCTGAAATGCGTATAGGTGGTTTGCAACATCGTCTCTGGATCTGGTGTAAGTTGGACCGTCAGACCCTGGCCCGTACCAGCATCCCCGGGGAGCGAGCGCGGCCGCAGAGGTGCTGCGCTGAGCAGGGCCCCACTGGTCCCCCCGGCACGGGGACAAGCCAGCGCTCCCCGAATCGCCCTGACCTCGCTCCCGGTGCCCGTGCGCTCGCGCTGGCAGTGGCTGTTAGAATCTCTGTATAACTGCAAGCCCAGGCTGCGCTTGGAGCCGGGACTGCGCGTCTCAGTGTGGGGATGAACTCTGGCTGCGGGGATCAGCGTTTGCAGTTCGTGTCACTGGCCTCAGCGCATTTCTGATGCCGGGTTATTGCTGCTCGGGGTCTCTCCAGAGCCTGTGCCGTGGACACGTCCCCTCTCCTGGGCCACAAGCTCTTTTCGTCAGCTCCATAAGGATCAACCCACAAGGAAGGGATTCTCCCGTGTTTCTTTTCTGTCCTGCAAGACATTCCCCATATTCCTCGTTCTACAAAGATGAAAATAAGGTGGAGGAGATCTCTTCGCCACATCGTCTCTCGGCTGGCACATGAGCCCGGCTTTATCTCATCCCCCCTTTGCGTGACTTGGGGTTTGCAGACCAGGAGTCGCTGGCAGTGGCACGTCGTCCTCCAGGCCTGCGGGTTTCCTCTCCCGCTGCCGAGGCTCCCGATGTTCATTTTTGGGGTTCCCGTGATGAGCGGGAGCTGCCTTTCGCGCACGGGGCCGGCCGTGGGCAGCTCTGCTGGCCTGGTCCCCGATGCTTCTGCTGCGGAGCGCTGAGCCTGCCCGCCCTCTGCCCCGGCTTGGGTTGCTTTCCACCCCCATGTTTTTATGGGATTTCTTCTTTGCTGCTTGCCCTCGCAGCTTTGCCCACCTCCTGCCCCAAGCCCATCTATAGATGGTGTTTAGATTTTAGTGGCCTGCTCTTGGTTACTCCCCTGTGTTTCCTGGCCCTTGTGGCTGCCATCGTCTTCCTCGCTGGAGAGCGTGCAGCGTGCTCGGGGAGGTGGTTTTTCGTCTTTGAACGCTTTTCATTTCCTCTCTGTGTGTTTTTCCTAATGCCTAGCGAGCCGGAGCCGCCAGAAGTGCCAGGCGTTGCAGGGAGGTGGGGGCCGGGCTGGCGCTGGTCCCACGGGAGGGCAGGGGCATCCCCTCTGCAAATCACCAGAAAAGCAAAGGTCTTCACTGCTTCTCCCTTTCTTGCATTTCAAATGTGATAAGATAAGCTTGGATTTCCTCTTGCTTTCATGGCGAGGCTCCCTTTCCACTATAGCTGCTCATCCCGGTCCATGCGATAGCGGTAATTCTGCGTGCAAATAAGTGCTGCCTTTAGACGCAAAGGAGCCATGTACCATGGGGGAAGGCGTGTTTTCAGCTTTGGTGCTAAGTCTGCCCGACCTGCCGGTCCTTGGCAGCCCGTGGGCACGGTGAGGCTTTTGGGGAGACTGAAACGGCCCCTTGATTCTTTGGCAATAAAGGCAGTGACAATTTATTACCGGTGATTAAATTCAAGCCTGCTTGTTCAAGCTGCCCTGGGGCAGCCTGGCGTGGCAGAGCCGGTACCCGGCCGGGAGGGGATGCGCAGCCCATCACGTTCGGGAGCCAGGGACCCAGGCAGGGCGCAGGATGGTGCTCCCCCCTCCACGGGATTTCGGTGCCCGCTGGCAGACCTCGGCCGGGCTCCCTGCGGCAGCAGCACGGGGCTGCTCTCAGTTTCTCACCCCCTAAAACCTGCCAGCGCCGCGAGAGGCATCGAGCCTCGGCGTGGGCGCCAGGCGAGTCTGCAGCAGTGGGAGGAGGAAGGGAAGGAGGAACTGAGCTCGCCAAGCACGAGGCCGAATCCAGGCTTCCCCGCAGAGCCGTTCCCAGCTGCAGGTACCGGGGCAGGCACCTGGGGTGCAGCGCGGGGTGCTTGCGGGAGCCCCTGGCATGGTACCAGCCTGTGTGCCAGACGCACGCATGCCATCCACGGTGCTGGCACTTGCCTGGTGCTGCATTAACCCCCCAGTGCTGCCGGGACAGAGGGAGCCCCGAGCAGAGCGGCTTTGCGTGCAGGTAGCTGCTGTCAACAGGGAAGAGCAGGAGGCAGCGGCGATGCCGGGTACTGCTGGGCTGCCACGGGCCGGGGCACGGGGCTTGGGGCTGCGAGAGAGTGAGGAATTAATCCCTGTGGCCGCAAATCTCCCTAAAGCCCTGCCTGAGAGCTGCTCGGGGAGCAGCTTGCAGCATGAAAAGCGAGGGACGGGCTGGCCCCGCTGCCCAGCTCTGCGGGCCCCGCAGCCAGAGCCTGGGCTGTGCCGCAGCCCCGCATGGCGCTGCCAGAGGGTGCTCCCACCGGCGCCGGGGCCGTGCTCGGCTCTTGCGCTGGATGCTGATTCACGCTGCTGCATAGCAAAGCCCGCAGCCGCCGCACACACTGCCGACTCAGGAGCAGTTATCCGGCAAGGCAGAGCTCTGCCTCCCTCTGCCCAGGTCCTCCCCTGGCAAATCCATCCCGGAGGGGAGCAGCAGGACCCCCAGATCCCGGTTGCTGTGTCCCAGGGATGCTGGCACCGGCCCGGCGTAGGGCACCGTGCCTGCCGGGGCTGGGGGTTCACCGTGGCTGCACGTCGCCGGCTCCTCTGCTCCGGCTCTCTGGGCTCTGCGGTGCCCTGGTTTGGGGATCAGGGAGTGAATCCTGGGCAGAGGAGAGGCCTGGGCTGGCCGTTGTGGGCTCTGAGCGTTAGGCAGGAGGTAGCCTGGAAAAAACCAGCCCTGGGGTGGCAAATGCAAAAGGCTGCGTTGGGGTGAGCCGGGCGTGCTCCCTCCTCCTCTCCTGCCTCCCCCTCCTGTCCTGCTCCTCGCGCTCCCTGGCCCGTGGCCGAGCAGCACTTAGCGTTTCCAGTTGCCCATCGATTATCAGCTGGCCGGTCCCATCGCTTGCGTTGCTCTGGGCTGGAGCTGCCAAAATCTGGGACAAATACCGGCCTCACGAATGGGCTCGGGGATGGGGCGAGGCCCACACAGTGCCACCGTCCCGGCCGTCCCCAGCAGCCTGTGAGCGCAGTGGGGCATCGCGGCGGTGCCATGGGATGCTCGGCAGGATGGATGTGCTGAGTGGATGCTTTCCGTAGCTCCCTCTGCTGCAGCAGTTCACATCCCTGCGTGTGCCCGAGGTGCTGCCTCCTCGAGCAGCTCCCGCCGGTTGCTGCGAGCATCTGGATCTGGCCTATTTATTTGCAGGAAAATGGGCTCTGTGTTTCCCGAGGGATTAGCTGCTGCTGCCGCATCATGCAGGGATCTGTGCTTCCTTACCTGATTTCACTGGTGAACGAGTGATTCTGACTTAATTAAGGAAAAGCAGGCGCGCAGCCTGCTGCGGGGACAGCCGCCGGCCCAGGCAGAAACTCGGCGAGGTCCGGGGCTGGGTGTCAGAGCCCTCGTCCCACCTCTGCCCCGAGGGATGCCACTACTGCAGGCACCCTGCATCCCTGCGGCAGGCCTCCCTTCCCCGACGGGGACCTGGGGTCGTGGGAAAGCTTGTCCCATGCCTGGAGACTGGTGGGAAAGGGGCTTTAGACCGAGGGGATGGAGCAAGAGTGTGTTGGAAGAAGCTGCCTGCTGGGAGGGCAGAGGAGCAGCACAAGCGTGGGCAGGTACCTTTGCCTTACAGCTGGAGAAGCCCTCACCCTGTGCCCGCAGCACGCCCTGCCGGGGCAGGACCCTGGGCACGCAGCATCCCGCCGTTCCTGGGCCGTGGGGGGCAGGCAGGGAGTGGAGCCCAGATGTGCAGGGGATGCAGTCCACATCTGTCCCTGTACAGGTGGCCCTGGGGACTGAACTGAAGCTCTGGTGCAGGGGCTGACCCCTGTGCTGGCACTTTGCGTGGCTCCCATCTCACCGGGGCCGTTTCCCTGCCTTCACCTCCTTTCTCTTGCGTTTAACCTGCAGTTCTCCCGCGCCCAGGACCCGCGGCACCGCGGCAATGTCTCTGCCGGGGAGCAGACGCTCGTCCACCGGATCACGAAGGTGAATATGCTTCGGCCTCTGGCCCCTGGGACCAGGCACCGGTGCCTGCCCGGCACTTCTCCTGGCTGGCAGCAGGGAGGGAACGATCCCCACCTACACCACAAGCTGCCACTTTGCAGCATGAATCCCCCAGCCCGGCTTTTCGGGGGTTTGCATGTCGCTGCCCGCCGCACAGCACTTCCCCGTCCGTGCATGCAGCCCCCCGAGTGCTGCACCCTCCGTCCCTCTCTGTCCGTCTCTGCCGCAGCCAGGACCAACCCCTCTGTCTGTCCAGGCAAAGGCAGGCGGTAGCGGAGGGCCCCGGCCCCGGGCAGTGGCACAGGGCCGCTGGGGTTGGGGTGATGAAGCTAGGAGGTGTGTTAGCCCTTGAAAAGCCTCTCCTTGAGCTGCAGTGATAAAGAGCAAGAGGGAAAAAGAGGAAAAAAAAACCCATTTATCCCCCTCAGATGTCTCCATGACATGGGTGGCCGTTATTTAGGCACTGGCTGCCACCGGCAGCATGGGCAGATCTGCCCACGCCGGGGTGCTGAGCTGGCAGCGGGGTGGCTCGAGCTCTGCCAGGGCCACACTCCCGGGGGGTCCCAAAGGGCTCCTGGTCCTCGGGGTGCAGGGATGCCACGCCGGCATCCAGGGATGCCACGCCGGGGTGGGGGGAGCGGGTGGGCAGCCCCCCAGCCCTGCCTTTGCACCCGTCACCGTGTCCGTGCCATTTTGATCCCTGCTGTTTGTTTTGTCCTTTTGTCTTGTGTGTTCTCGGTGTGGTGGTTGGCAGTCGCGGGGTTTATGGACGGAGTGGCTTTGCCTCCTTCTTTAAGTCTTCAGCGCCCTCAGCCACTCGGCCTGAGACACAGCCTCTTCTCCCTGCCTCCAGGCGCCCCTCGCCCCCCGGGAGGGACACCTACGGCACCTCCTCGCTGAGCAGCAGCAGCAATTCTGGCTCCTGCAAGGGCAGCGACAGCAGCCCCACCCCAAGGTAACCCATCACCCGTGGCCCCAGGGCGGCTGCCGGGTGCCCCCGGGCAGGGGGGAGCAGCACCCGTGCTGCCGGTGCCGGTGCCCAACGGGGACAGGAGCACAGGGGCCGGCGGAGCGAGGCTGTGCGTTTGGCGGCTGGGGGAGCCGGAGCTGGCAGAGCCGCTGGTGTGTCTCGCAAAGACCCCCACCATCTTCCTCCAAACCTCTCTGCCATCGTTGTCGTGTCTTCTCCCTCCCCGTACCCCCGCCTGCCAGCCCAGCGCCCCGTCCCCTTCCCTCCCGTCCTGCCATGGCTGTGGCTTGCACGCTGCACGCGTCCCTCCCGCTGCTCCTGCACTCTGAGGAGCACCCTGGGTCCTCCGGGACCAAGGGCACAGTGGACAAGAGCTTCATTTCCATCCCCTCGTGCTGCCCGGCGGAGGTCTGGCAAGAGCAGGTGGCAGCCTGGCTTCTCAGTGGGGAGCTCCCGGTGTGCTCAGGGCATAAACCCAGCCGGGCACCGAGCTGCGGGACAGGCACCGGCCCCAGCCCCGTGGGCACAGCAGCCTGCGCCAGCATTTCGGGCCATCCAGGCTGGGCTCCTGCTGCCTGTCCCCAGTCACCTCCCAGCTCCCAGAGGTGGCATCAAATCTGGGGGGATATGAGGGGCCTGAGGGTAACCTGGGAGCAGGGCCCGTGCACGCCGCAGCAGGGAGCAGCGGCCGTCCTGCTGCCACGGGGCGTTGCAAGGCCGCGGTCCTGCCTGGCTGCTCCGAACGCACTGCTTATGGCTCTGGCCAGAGGCTGTTGGTGCTGCTGGGCTGCTGCCACCGCGCATGGGGGTTTTGGGCTGCCCTGCTGCCATGCACAGAGAGAACCCGCCACCCTGCTGTGGTGCACAGGGGTTTTGGGCCGCCCTGCTGCCATGCAGGAGCGTCTCGTGCTGCGCGCAGCTCTCTGCCTGCCTCCCAGCCCGGACACGCAGCCCCGTCCCCTGTCCCCGGTCAGCCCCTGCTCTCCACGCTGCCCTGGGCTTTGGGCCAGAGACGTCACCTCATCCACCCCGGTGGCGGCACGAGGAGGGTCCGGACGTGCCGCTGTCCCAACCCAGAGCAGATGCCAGATGCCCCAGCTTGCTCTCCACGGGCAGGATGGCTGCCAGCTCCAGCCCTGCTCCAGCCTGATCCCTGCCATCACACATCTTCCGCCTCCATCTCTGATGGGGCTGAGCCCACCCTGGGGTCTCCATCCGCGTCTGCCATTCCCCAGAAAGCTCGCTCTGGGCACGGGGAGACCTTGGCGCCCACCTGCTCCCAGCTTTGCTCATGCACCCGTTGCCCTGACGTAGCCCGCAGCTCTGCAGCGAGCTCAGCAACCGCAGGCAGCACCAGCGGGTTCGGGAGCTGCACCCACCCTCCTGCCAGTGGCACAGCACCCTGGGACACCCACTCTGCCCCTCCGGCCCACGGGGCTCCTTTGGGGTGTGCTACGGGGCTGCACGCCCCGAGAGGAGGTGTCTCCCTTGGGGTCCCTCTGCCGAGCCCACGCCAGCGCCAGCACCGGCGGGTGGGTGACGGCCGTGTCCCCGCAGGCGCTCGGCCAAGTACAACCTCTGCAGCGACAACCATGGGATAAAGCCGCCGACACCGGAGCAGTACCTGACGCCCCTGCAGCAGAAGGAGGTCTGCATCAGGCACCTGAAAGCTCGCCTGAAGGACACGCAGGAGCGGCTGCAGGACAGGTGAGCGCGGGGGCAGCGGGCGCAGACCACCCTGGCACGGGAGCTGCTGGGAAGGGTCCCGGCACCAGCCACCACTGCCTGCGGTGGCAGCTCCCATAGGGCACTGGTCCTTCTGGGGGGTTCTTGGCTCCCCCCCCCGCCTCTTTTCCCCCGGGCTGTGCCCC